CCGGAACGATCGCGCTTTCGCGCCGACCTACCGCTCCCAAGTCCATGGACGATTGCCGTCAAGGCGGCACGTGTCGCTCAACTGCACGTGCACCACAGCCTCGTCCTAGAGCCCGAGCAACCTGCTCTTCGTCGACTTCTCCAGCTCCTCGCCCAACACGAGTGGCCGCGACGTCACCTCGTCCCGCGGATCGCGCTCCTGCCTCCGCCTGCCTAAATCAAGTCCCTCAACCGAGTACACACAACGAAGAAAGTCCGACAATTTTATTTAGCATAGTTTTATCTATTGTAATAGACGACCCACTTCAACAACAACAACGTACTTGCAATATTGGTGCGTATGGTCGTGGAAGAAACGACGCACAAGAACGGAGGATGCGCGAGCCGCAAGCGCCGACGGCGTGGACCCTAACCACAGTCGACAAATGACGCGCTGTCGTGAGCCAAGGTAGCTTCATGGACGTCAAGACACTTACAACGACATCATAAGAAGAGCACTCGTGTTTGTTACCTATCGTCGAACCTCGGCCTCGTGCCCATGTTGCTTCCGCGCCAACTTCAATGAGCAAAGCTGCAACTTGTAAAGATCCGTGGGCCGGGTCTACAAGTACTTGGCTGGCACTGTCGGTGAGCGAACGAGCCCATGTATTCGGCAGTCCTAGTGAAGACACGACAACGCAACGGTATTTGCATACCGGTATTGCATGGAAATGATATATATAAGATATAAGAAAATGGGATAAGCATACGTCTTGCACTATCTCTTTTGGTGGTTGACGTAGCGAAGGCAGAGAAGCGCAAGGAGACGGAACAGCACAATGCAGCCAATAACGACCCAGACGTTCATGGCCTTGTCATCCGCCTTCATCTCGTAAACATGCTCAACAAAGTCCTTGAGGCGAATCGCTGGCACGCCCATCTTGTGCAGCAAGCTCTGCGGCACGTGCGTCATGACCTGGCACCCGAGATCATCCGGTGCATCGCAGGTCGCAAACGTCTCGGCGGTCAAAATCGCGACCGAGTACTTGAGTGGTGTGATGTGGTAGAGCCAGCGGTACCCATTCGGGATCTGCGACGCCGGCGGCGTGTAACCCATGAAGAGAAAGAAGACTGCGTTGATGAGCATGCCAAGGAGCGCGGCGACTTCAACGCGGGGCGACGCGTACACCATGAGCTGTCCCAAGTAGACATTTTCCAAGACGAGCATCGAAAGGTTGTAGCCGTAAAAGAGACAGTCGCCCACGGACCCGTGGAGCCCAACAAACGGGTAGAAAATGACCGTGAAGAGGAACGTCGTGCCAAACACATACGGGATCTCGGCCAGCGTCGTGCCAATAAAGTACCAGAGCGCGTTGTACGTCTGCGAGGCACGCTCACGGTAGTACGACTCGCGCTCTTCGGCGGCAATCGGGAGGACACTGATGAACGAAATCAAACCGACGAAGAGCGACGTCATGAAGACCATGCCGACGCCGCCCGTCGCGCCCGTGTACGTCGTGTAGTCAATGCCGCGGTACATGAGGCCAAAGAGGATCGCGAGGAAGACCGAGAGAATCGTGCGCGTCCAGTTGTACGACGGCGTGCGCCAGTACATGCGGAAGAAGCGCTGGATGAGGTACAAGCACTGCGTCGACGACGCCGCGGCGCGCTTGTGCTTGAACGAGAGCTCCGGAATCGTCGCGTGCGGCTGCGTGTGTGTTGCGAGCGCCGAGAGCAACGCCGCGTGCTCGGTCGAGTCGTTGTAGCGCTGGACATAGTCGTTGGGCGGGAGGTCCGTGTGCTTGGCGTCGACGCCCGCGCCAATGACTTCGAGCATCCACGTCGCAGGGTTGGCCGAGAGCTCGAGCGCCGGCGTGTTGGGAATCGACGAAAAGTACTCGATCAAATGGCTTGCTTTCGTGCCGAGGTCGCCAAAGAAGACGGTCTCGCCACCGCGCTTGAGGAGAAGCAACGAGTCAAACATCTCAAACACTTCCTTGGACGGCTGGTGGATCGTGCAAACCACCGTGCGACCCGTGGACGCGATCTTGCGGATACCCGACATGATGATCTTGGCCGACCGAGCATCGAGGCCGGACGTCGGCTCGTCGAGGAAAAGCACCGACGGCGCCGCCGCAAGCTCGACACCGATCGTCAGACGCTTCATCTGCTCGACCGACGACCCGCGGATGATGGCGTCGGCAATCGGCATCAAGTTGAGGAGCTCGAGGCACTCTTCCGCAAACGCGAGCTTTTCTTGCGCGGGAATGGCGTCCGACTGGCGCAGCATCGCGCTAAACTGGAACGCCTCACGGAACGTCGCCGAGCAGCAGTGGATGTCCATCTGTTCGCAGTAGCCCGTCGCACGACGGATCGCGAGGTCCGTGGCCGGGTACCCGTTCAGAAGAATCTTGCCATCGATCTTGCCGCCCGTCTTGCGACCGGCAATGACGTCCATCAAGGTGGTCTTGCCCGCGCCGGACGAGCCCATGAGCGCCGTGATCGTGCCGGGGAGAGCGTAGCCGCTGACGCCCTTGAGCAACTTCAAGTCGGGCTCGCCCTTGGTCGGGTTGGGCACCGAGTACCAGAGGTCTTCAAAGGCGAGCGTCACGGGAATCGCAGCCGTGCGCCCGCTCTCAACGGTGACGACGACCGAGGCCGACGGCGTCGCCGGCGCTGCCACGTATACATCATCGTCCTTGGCACATGCCGTCTCGTCGTCGGTCGTCGGCACAAACGAGTGGTCCGTGTTGTCGTAGCGCTTGTACTCGAGCGCGAGGTACGCGAGGCCCATAAAGAGAAAGTAGCACACGAGTTGGAAGAGAATGCCGTAGAGGATCCAGATTTTGTTCGTCTTGAGGCCAAACGTGTCGAGCATGACGTTGCCCATCGTGTCGCCCTTGAGCTTCATGTACTCAATGTGGTTGTACACTGGGACTTGGAACTCATCGGCCGAGTACTGGTTGATGGCCAGTGCGCGCATGCACCACGAGAGCGGGTTGACCCAGTAGATCCAGATAAAGTAGTCGGGAATGTCGTGCGGGAAGATGACAAAGCCCGCAAAGAGCACGTAGATCAAGACCGAGACCATCGCCATGGGTTTCGAGACGTGGAGGTTGGGCGCGACCATCGCGAGGAAGAAGAACCACGACGCGTACACCAAGGTCGTCAGAAAGAGCAGCAAGAGGTAGATGAGGAACGCGCTGACTTCGGCCACAAAGCCCGAGCCCCAGTAGAGGATACTACCAAACACGAGCGTCTCGCCAAAAGCAAACGGCACTTGGGTGAACGACTGCGCAATGATAAAGGACGAGGTGCGGTAAAACTGCGCCGACCGCTGCTTGTAGAAGATCTCGCGCGCTTGGACTGCGGCGGGAATCAAGGGCACTTGGCCGAGCGCGAGAAAGAGCACCGCCACAAAGACAACGCCGAGGACCACGACTGCGTTCTCTGGGTCGACGTCGTAAAACGTCGTCGCGTACAAGAAGCCCATGAGTAGCACCATGATGAGCCGGCTCTTGACGAACGCGCGGTTGCGGATGAAGACGCGCAGCTGCCGCAAGACGAGCTCCTTGGTGCTCGTGATGTAGTCGACTTGGTACGCCGGCATGTTGACCATGTGGTTGGCCGCGTCGGCCAGCAGCACCGGTGGCAACGGACCGACAACGTACGCGCGCATCGCTTCGTAGACAGGCGACCGGCGAAAGATGTCGGCGTACTCGCTCGGCAGGCGCGGCACCGACGTCGCACCGTCGACGACGTACTGGTCTTGCTGCGGCGTGCCAAGGTCGAGCAGAAAGTCCGCCACGTCGCGCTTGGGCGGGCACTTGAAGCCGAGCGACTCGAAATACTCGAGCGCCGCCGACCGCGGCCCATGGTACATGACGTGACCTTCGTTGAGCAAAAGCACTTCGTCGAAAAGGTTGTACAGCTCCGGCGACGGCTGCAGCAGCGCAATGACAATCGTCTTCTTGAGCGACTCGGCCATGCTCTTCTGCGACTTGACGATATCGTAGGTTGCCGCCGAGTCGAGGCCTGTGCTAATCTCGTCCATGAACGAGACCTGCTTCATGCCGAACTCCATCTCGCCGACGGTGACGCGCTTGCGCTCGCCACCCGAGACACCGCGGAGCATCGCGTTGCCAAGAATCGTGTCCTTGCAAATGTCGAGGCCCATCTGATGGCTGATGATGCCGGGGTACGCGCGGTAGAGGGCGTGAATGAGTGCGGTGGCCTCGGCGACTTGGTCGGGCGACCCGTTCTGGAGCGAGTCCAAGACGCGCTGCGACACGAGGTTGCCGCCGCTGCACGCATGCGCAAAGGCCAAGGTCTCCTTGACCGTCAAGACGGCGTAATGAAAGTCGAGCTGGCTCACATACGATGCAAACTGCGGTAGCGTGTGCTGAAGGTCTGCGCTCGCGACGCCGTTGTACGTGATCTGACCGCCGACCAAGATGTTCTTGTGCATGGGAAAGCGACCCGAGAGGATCTTCATGAGCGACGACTTGCCCGAGTTGGGCTGACCGAGCACGAGTGTCATCGTGCGCGGCTTGAAGACACCGGTCATCGGATGCAACACGTCCTTCCGAATGACGCGCTTGGTGTGGAAGAGGCGCATGATGGCCTTCTTGCCTTGGTTGTACAAGGTCGGAAGCTCATGACCGTCTTTGGTCGCCACTTGCACGTCGGCGGCGACCGAGAGGTTCTGGAACCGAATTTCCATCTGCGGCAGCGGCTTGGCCATCGCGGCTTCGAGCTGCGCCGCCATGCGCTCGTGAAAAGCCTCTGAACCGTCGACGAGAAACTCATCTGCGGTTTGTGGTATTGTTGTGGTCGTTGTTGGTGCCGACATTTCGGTGTGTGTCGGCGAATTGGAAAATGAACACCTCGGGTCAGCGACAAAAGCGGCCGCGCAGAAAAGCGGTCGCGACCTTGCGACACCAAGACGCTGTGCAAACAACGAGTACGTCGGTGTCCTGCGTTATGACGGAGCAGCGCTCGATCGTCAACATGACCCGCCACGTGGTCGGCATGGTCGCAAAACCACGCTTCGAGTCCGCTGCAAGGTCAGATGAGTGCCGGAACGGCGCCAAATCGACGGCAGTTTTATGCACCGACGCGGTGCAAACACAGCACATGTCCCGTGCTGTGACGCGCAAGTGCCACGGGGAGCGGACGTGCAAGCAATCCAGTGAATGATCATGAAAAGCTGTCGAATGCATCAACCACAACACTATTCTTGGACGCGCAAAGCCTCCATTTCTTAAACAAGACTGAACTACTGATACTTGGGGTGTTGGTGGTGACATGCCTCGCCTCAGGCGAGGCAGGTTCGCTTTTGACTTGACACTACAAATTCGTAGACGGCTCGAGCTGCGCCTGGATGTTGTAATGTGTGTGCTTCTAGATCTTGGGCTTCTGGAACGCTCGGCCTCGCGCGGAAAACCTCGTCCACTTCTTGGAAACGGTCTGTTTGAGCAGCTAGGACAACAATCGATTTAGACCAAACGACACAAAGTGCATTTTGGACGAGTGCGGTTGCTGGTATCGCATGGTGAAGCGAGCTTTATTGTACGGGCCACCTGGGATGGTGCACGCAGAGGGATATCGATTTTACGAGAAAGGTATTACACCGACGAATGAACGCGAGTTGATGAAATTTGGTACACTTGTGGTTTTCGATATGAGCTATCGAACAGTGCTAAAACTTTTCTGGTAATATTGTCCGTTATGGATTAATTCGATTGTACACAATTTGAGCAGCTTAGTACCACTGAGATAGCCCACATGGGTGACCACGCCCAAGTGTACCCATGTTTAACCAATCTCCGCGTCGGCGGGGACAGATGATGGGTGGATCCTTGAAGCATTCGGCAGGTGGTATGTCCGCTAACCAATAAGATGCGTGCAGTGGGGACAGCCGCCGGCTCCGAAAGGGCCCTGAAAGTGCACGCTCCGTTTAAAAGCATTTATCTTTGTCGTATTAGCTCATAGGCTCTATATAAGAGTATATTCTGAACAATCGAATCATTCTGTTTATCAGACACTTTTCAGATTAAGCATAGCTTTAGTCGTTGCCGAGTTATGGGGATCCAACTGATGCACCATCCCAGGTGGCCCGTAATAACGACCCGCGCGCCTCGTGGAGAACGATTGAGGACTGTTGGTGCAACGGCGGAAGTGTCCGACGCGCTTACGCAGTAGCAATCAATTCTATGCGATTGCATTCAACAAGTCTTTGGCGCGCTCTGAAGCCTGGAATCGGCAAAATACTGCTCCCAACCAACGAATGCAGCACCTCTGGAAGGACCATGTGTTTCTAGTGTCTGCGCAGTCCGCCATGTCGTGAGTACAGTAGCCGTATCGTCCATATATAGAACAATCCAGGTATCCATATATTCACCACAAATCCATGATCAATGCCAAACGACACATGCTGACGAGACGCTGCCTAGCACTATACGCCATATTCTATGTTCATTGCGTGTGTACCTCTTCATCGCTGCAATTTCTACAGAATGCACTTTGTACTGCGACGGGATCCACATCAAATCCATATAATTATCCGACTGTGTTCCATACAGTAATATCCATACGTAGATGATATCCATGAGGGTTGCACTGCCTCAGCCCAGCGCTCGTTGACGTCGACGGCGTTGATTTTATGTGCTCTTGAGGTATTGAAGCGCATCCATGGCCTTCTCGCAGGAACCATCTTTTGGTTCATGTCCCGTTCCAAGCCCACCGTCTCTAGAGACTTTTCTGTGCAAGTAAGGACACACGACCAACAGTTCATCAATTCAATGTAGACCACCGCCCATGCCATGTAATGCCAATTGTCCGGGTTTCAAGTATCAAAATGCAAAGTTCTCTTTTAATTGTAGTTGATTTATGTGTCGAAAATACAAGCTGTCGGCATGCATTTACCGCTTCTGGTGGTTGACGTAGCGGAGACAGAGGAGCGCGAGGACGCGGAAAAGCACGATGCAGCCGACGACGACCCAAATGTTCATCTGCTTGTCGTCGATCTTCATCTCGTAAATGTACTCGACGTAGTCCTTGATGCGGATCTCGGTCTTGTTCATCTCGTGGAGGATGCTCTGGGGCACGCCGGTCATGATCTTGCACCCAAGCTGCGTCATGTCGCCCGTGCACTTGGAAAACGTCTCGGCCGTGAGAATTGCAAGCGAGTACTTGGGCGGCGTGATGTGGTAGAGCCAGCGATACCCCGACGGGATCTGCGACGCGGGCGGGTTGTAGCCCATGAAGAGGAAGAAGATCGAGTTGAGGAGGACACCGAGAAGCGCGGCGACCTCGACGCGGGGCGTCGCATACACCATCAACTGACCCAAGTAGACGTTCATCAAAACGAGGAGCGAGAGGTTGAGGCCGTAAAAGAGGCACGCGCCGACCGATTCGTTCAAGCCCACGAACGGGTAGTAGATGATCGTAAATGCAAACGTCGTCACAAACACGTACGGGATCTCGGCGAGCGTCGAGCCGATAAAGTACCAGAGCGCGTTGTACGTCTGCGACGCGCGCTCGCGGTAGAACGACGCGCGCTCCTCCGAGGCGAGCGGCAGCACACTGTTGAACGAGATCAAACCGATGAAGAGCGACGTCATGAAGATCATGCCGACGCCGCCGGTCGCACCCGAGTACGTGGCGTAGTCGATGCCGCGGAAGACCAAACCAAAGAGCACCGCGAGGACGATGGACATGAGGCCACGCGTGTAGTTGTACGACGGCGTGCGCCAGTAGATGCGGAACCAGCGCTGCGTCACCATCTTGAACTGCGTCGACGACGACGCCGCGCGCTTGTTGGCAAACGTCAGCTCGGGCAGCGACGGATGCGGCTGCGTGTGGTGCGCAAGCTCCGAGACAAGAAGCTGGCGCTCGTGGCTCTGCATAAACGCCTGCACAAAGTCCGTCGGTGCGCCGCCGCCTTGCTTGGCTTCGACACCGGCACCAATGACTTCGAGCATCCACGTCGCCGGGTTGGCCGTCGGAAGAAGAGCCGGCGTGTTGGGGATCGCCTTGAAGTAGTTGATCAAATGGCTCGCGCTCTCGCCAAGGTCGCCAAAAAAGACAGTCTCGCCACCGCGCTTGAGGAGCAGGAGCGAGTCGAACATCTCAAACACCTCGGTCGACGGCTGATGGATTGTGCAGACGACGGTGCGACCGGTCGAGGCAATCTTGCGGATGCCCGTCATGATGATCTTGGCCGACCGAGCATCGAGGCCGGACGTCGGCTCGTCGAGGAAAAGCACCGACGGCGCCGCCGCAAGCTCGACACCGATCGTCAGGCGCTTCATCTGCTCGACCGACGCGCCACGAATGATCGTGTCGCCGAGGTTCTTCATGTCCAAAATGTCCAGACACTCTTCCGCAAACGCCATCTTCTCTTCGGCGGGAATGTCATCGGACTGGCGGAGCATCGCGCTGAACTGGAACGCCTCACGGAACGTTGCCGCTTCCGAGTGAATATCCATCTGCTCGCAGTAGCCCGTCGCACGACGAATCGCGAGGTCCGTGGCCGGGTACCCGTTCAGAAGAATCTGACCTTCGATCTTGCCGCCTGTCTTGCGACCGGCAATGACGTCCATCAAGGTGGTCTTGCCCGCGCCGGACGAGCCCATGAGCGCCGTGATCGTACCAGGGCGCGCAAAGCCGCTGACACCCTTGAGCAACTTCAAGTCGGGCTCGCCCTTGGTCGGGTTGGGCACCGAGTACCAGAGGTCTTGGAAGGCGAGCGTCACGGGAATCGACGTCGAAGCGGTGCTGCCGATGGGAACCGCGTGCGCGTCAGCGGGGGTCTTGGGCACTTCAACGTAGATGTCGGCGCCCTTGCTGTGCTCGGCGCTCTCGTCGTCGTCGGCGACGTGCACCGTCCCATGCGCCGCCGTGTCGTAGCGGATGTACTCGAGCGCGAGGTACGAGATGCCGAGAAACACAAAGTAGCAGGCGGCGAGGAAGAGCGCGCCGTACCAGATCCAGATCTTCTCGGTCTCGAGGCCAAACGTCTCGAGCATGACGTTGCCCATGGTGTCGCCCTTGAGCTTGCAGTAGTTGATGCCGCCGTCCTTGATCACGCATTTTTGGAACTCGGACGCCGAGTACTGGTTGATCGAGAGCGCGCGCATGCACCACGAGAGCGGGTTGAGCCAGTAGAGCCAGATAAAGTAGTCGGGAATGTCGTCCTTGAAGATGGCAAAGCCCGCAAACATGACGTAGATCAAGACCGACATCATCGAGAGCGGCTTGGCCACATGAAGGTTGGGCGAGACGACCGCGAGGAAGAAGAACCACGACGCGAACGACAAGTTGGTCAGAAAGAGCAGCAGCAAGTAGACGAGGAACGCGCCGACTTCAGCGACAAAACCCGAGAGCCAGTACATGACCGAGCCAAACACCAAGGTCTCCCCTAAGGCGAACGGCACTTGGGTGAACGACTGCGCCAGAATGAACGACGACGTCTTGAAAAACTGCGCCGACCGCTGCTTGTAAAAGATCTCGCGGGCTTCGAGAACCGCCGGCATAAGCGGCACTTGGCCGAGTGCGAGGAAGAGCACCGCCGTAAAGATAACACCGAGGACAACGACCGGCATCTCTGGGTTGACTTGGTAGAACGTCGTCGAGTAGAGGAGACCCATGAGCAGCACCATGACGAAGCGGCTCTTGACGAACGCCGTGTTGCGCAAAAAGACCTTGAGCTGACGGGCAATGAGCATCTTGGTGCTCTGCACGTACGGCACTTGGTACGCCGGCATCTCGGCCATGTGCTTGGTCGCGTCCGCGAGCAGCAGCGGGTGGTGCGGGCCCTCGACGTGGCTCATCATCTCGCTGTAGATGGTCGACATGCGGAAGAGGTCCGCGTACTGGCTTGGCGACCGCGGCACCGACGTCGTCCCGTCGACGACGTACTGCGCCTGTTCGGGCGTGCCAAGGTCCAGCAGAAAGTCGGCCACGTCGCGCTTGGGCGGGCACTTGAAGCCGAGCGACTCGAAATACTCGAGAGCCAGCGACCGCGGACCGTGGTACATGACGTGGCCTTCGTTGAGCAAAAGCACTTCGTCAAAGAGGTTGTACACTTCGGGCGACGGCTGCAGCAGTGCAATCACGATCGTCTTCTTGAGCGACTCGGCCATGCTCTTCTGCGACTTGACGATATCGTACGTCGCCGCCGAGTCGAGACCCGTGCTGATCTCGTCCATGAACGAAACAAGCTTCATACCAAACTCCATCTCGCCGACGGTGACGCGCTTGCGCTCGCCGCCCGAGACACCGCGGAGCATGGCGTTGCCGACGATCGTGTCCTTGCAGTTGACAAGACCCATTTGGCGCGTGATAATGTCCGGGTAGACGTTGTAGAGCGACTGAATCACAGCCTTGGCCTGCGCGTTCTCTTCGGGCGAGCCACTCTCAAGCGAGTCGAGGACGCGCTGAGGCACGGCGGCGCCGCCGCTGCACGCGTGGGCAAACTCGAGCGTCTCCTTGACGGTCAAGGTCGGGTAGTGAAAATCGCGCTGGCTCATGTACGACGAGATCTGCGGCAGCGTGTGCGCCACCTCGGGCAACGGCGTGCCGTTGTACGTGAGCTCACCGCCCACCGTGATGTTCTTGGTCACGTGGAAGCGCCCCGAAAGGTACTTCATGAGCGACGACTTGCCCGAGCTCGGCTGGCCGAGCACGAGCGTCATGGTGCTGGGCTTGAACGTGCCCGACATCGGGTGCAGAATGTCCTTGCGCAGCGAGCGCTTGGAGCGGAAGAGGCCCATCGACGACTTTTTCATGTGGTTCCAGATCGTCGGGAGCTCATGGCCGTCCTTGGTCGCGACGGCCACATCGGCGGCAATCGAAAAGTCCTGGAAGCGAATCTCGAGCTGCGGCATCGACTTGCCCATCGAGGCTTCGAGCTGCGTGGCAAGCGCCGCGTGGAAAGCGTCCGAGCCGTCTTGCAGAAAGGCGTCGGCCGACTGCGGTGCGGGACTCATGGCCAGTTGTAAAATGAACTCTGCTGCAGGTTCATGCAGCCGGTGATTCGCTGCATCGCCGCGCTGATGAGGCAAGCACGAGCAATCGTATTCGAGCGCCTCGGGGTTTCAGCTACGAAATCGCCGCGTTCCGTCAACGCGCGGCCAACAGCACGTATGCGGCACGCCGATTCGTCATCGCAACAACACATATGGTTCAGATTCCCTGTTCCTCGCCAACCGTCGCCTTGACGCAGACAAAAGCCGCATACTAGAATGCAAACTCGACTACATTATATTAGGGAGATGCGCGTGTTTTGGCGTAAAGCAACCGATCACCAGGCGCAGAATCTGTGTTGCACCAGCCAGTGGCACTCCATTGGAGTCGATTAATTCTTCTGGCTTGCGTGAAGAGTAAAAACGGAGGCTCGTACCAGTGGGCTCGCACTGCCGAGTTGGATTACGATGGCGTCAGCGGAGGTCATCCGCGTGGCCGGCGAGTGCCGCATGCATTTTTTGTTCTCCGAGCATTTAACCTCTGCGTTTTATGTGACGGCTATCCAAGACGTGGGCTAGTGTGCAAACAACGGACTCGTGGTTTAAACGTGCATGCAGTCGGTACGCAGCTCCAGAGCCCAAGCATCATGGCGTAGACAACGTTGAGGGACAAATACGAGCTATGTCTACCCCTCTTGACGCTTGGGATATTGGGCCCTACACGACGCGTTTGCGTTAGAACGGCTAAACCAGTTTAACCTTTTCGAGTGCAACGTCAGAGGAAGGCAGAACTTGTCGGTTTTTGTCAGACATGTCGATTGCATGCGTCTGTTGACGCCAAGACAACCTCTTCATATGTGCAAACGCGTGTACTGCGACAGTGCGACCACTGCATTACACAAGCGTCGCAGCGTTGATGCATCAGCGAACAGCAGGCTGAGCGAACAGAGCACCTTGCAGAAGCGTCCTATACCGCGCGAAAGGCTGGGCAGTATCTCGAATTCGCCCTCGTACCGCTGCAACATACTGCAACATATACGACGACCACGATCGTGCGGTCGCTATCTGGGTCGCTATGGTGTTTTGTTACTGTTGGCACTGTGTGTAGAGTAGAGCACTACCAAACAGTCTCAAGCAGTAGCGTGTTCTCATGGCGTGTTCTGCCCTCTACGAAGCATTACTGCATTTGCAGTGCAAATCCACAGATTGCCATTGCAGTCCATGATTGCAGTACAATCATGTACTGCAATGGCGTAGCCGTTTTGGATGGATCCGAGTCTACCGGTAATCGACCCTAATAGAATCGTTTTGACGAAAAGACGATGCTATCAAGCTTACAAAAGCATGGTCTTTGACGTCAAACGAGAACAATTCAACGTAGGGCATACATACTAGGTGGCCATCGCGACGTACCGCTTGGCCTTAGCCTTGGAGAGGTGCTCGGTGGCGTAGCGCACCGTGGTCTTCGCTGCTTTGGGAGCAAACTCGTTGAGGAATGTCTCGAGTTGGGCCTTGCCTTCCTTGCCGTTTTCGCGGAGGACCCAACCCAGGGCCTTGTGGATCAAATCTAAGCTCTCGAAAGCGACGCCGTTGAGCGTGCAGCGCAGCGCCGGTGCGTCGTGGAAGCGGCGAATGTGGTAGGCGCACACGGCATACGAGAGTGCGACGTTGTCGGCTCTGACGCCAAGCAGCGAGACGATTGACATGCGCGTCTCCCAGAGATCGCTGGACGTGAGCAGCGCGCTGTACCAGTCCGGAAGAAGTGTTATGTCGTCCTAGCGTTGTACCCGCTCAGCAAATTACAACTAATACCATTGAAGGATTGGCCTACCGGCCGAGAGAGGAAGGCGTCGATAGCCGCCGTCTCGAAATGGAGCAACGAGTGGCCCAAAATTTTGTGGCAGCACGTGTCCACGAGGTCCCAATTGTTGCAGAACGCGGCGTGCGCCAGGAGCACGCGACGCACCTCAAGTCGAACGTCGTCATGCGAGGGAGCTGGCTGCCACTGCGGCGCCTTGGACGGGCGCGCGTACACCTCGGTGAGTGCGATCAACCCCGTGAGACGCATCTCGTGCCGCGGATCACGAAGCAACTCTAGAATCTCATTCTTTGACGTGGTTGCCAAGTGCTTTTGGAGCGCGTCGCGGCATTGGGGCACGCGAAGACCCACAAAGACGTCATTCGGGCAGTACGCCCGGAGGAAGAAGCGCTCGACCTTCTTGGCATACGCCGGCGATTGCAGCTGCTCCAAGGCTTGGACGAGTGACGTCGCCAACGGCTTGCGTTGCGCCATGGTCAAAGTGCAAAGTACGCCAGCCAATCGCAAAGGCGCTCCGCCTCCCGCGCACGGCCCCAGCTGCACTTTCCCGCGGCCTGGTATCTTTATCCGGTCCGGATAGCTCAAAAACACACACAACGGTCAGAGATAAGCACAATGGCCATAAGACGCGTTCTTATTGATTTTTCAAAGACACCACCACTACGTATGGTAGCAAAGGCATCGTTTCTGGCCTTGGAACGAAGCATCGCCCGCCTCCTGACGCAGCTGCGACCCATCGAAACAACGCGCAACGATTATTGTTCGTGCTCCCTCGTCCATGGAACGACCTTTCTCGTTCACCAATTTTGAGAACCTTGGACGATACCGAGCTTGCGCGTTGTCGGTATTGGCTAAAGTGGGCTATGCGTCACATTCTTTATCATCCGACCCGCATGTGCATCAACGTGCTAGACGATGCAGCAAGAGCTCGGTGCTTGTTCATCGACGGATGTGCTTTATGGAACGTTGGAAAAGCTCATTCGAAAGCAGGCGTCGGTTCAAGCGAAACGGTTGAGGATGCAATCCTCTTGAAGTTTGTATACCCCGTGCAAAACGGGCCATGGCTATTGTCGTCGACAATCTTGCTTTTGCGATGGACTCTCGCTGGCTGCCACTGCTGCTCGTCGGCGCTGTCGCCGCGGCGCCCGTCGCCAACCACGTTGAGCGGCTCGACGACGACCGGCTCTTCTTCCGCGGCGACATCTACGTCAAGGTCGCACCATTGACGCCCGCCGACGCCTGCGCCAACGACCTGTACCTCGTCTACAGCTGCAACCCGACCAAGTACATCCTCTCGGTACTCTGCGTCGTTGGCCTCGTCGTGCTCGCCGGCGCCATGTCGGGCCTCACTGTCGGCGTTCTCTCGCTGAACCGAACGCACCTCGCCGTGCTCGAGCAAGAAGGGTATGCTACCGTCTGGTTCACAGGCACTGCTAATCTCATGTAGCGTGCCACGGCAGAAGGCGGCGGCCGCACGGCTCCTTCCAATCCTGCGCAACCACCGACTGCTGCTCGTGACGCTTGTGCTCATGAACGCGCTCGCCAACGAAGCGCTGCCCATGTTCCTCAACACGCTCATCAACCCGATCGCATCGGTCGTCTTCTCGGTGACCTTTGTTGTGCTCTTTGGTGAAATTGTGCCCACGGCGCTCTGCACGGGCGAGCGGCAGCTCGTGATCGGCGCGGCCTGCGTCCCGCTATTGCAGTTTCTCATGCGGTACAAACCGCGTACAGGCTACGATCCTCATCCGATGCGTAGGCTCACGTATCCCATCACGTATCCGATAGCCGTGTTTCTCAACTTTACGGTCGGGCACTCGGCCGCCGACGCTCCGTACTCGCACAACGAGCTCAAGGCGCTTGTGGCGATCCAAGCCGACCCGACAGCAGGGCTGAGCACGACCGAGGTCGACCTCTTGCAGGGGATTCTTGAGCTCGGTGCGCATGACGCGGCGAGCGTCATGACCCCCGTGACGACGGCCAGTGACGTATCGCCAGAGCCATGTGTGCCGTCGACGAGCCGCCGCCTCGAGCTCCCGGCGGTCGACGACAGCTGTCCGGATTGGCACGACCACGACATTTACGTGCACCACTCGACCATCTACGTCGTCGACCGCATCTTCAACCAGGTGACGCGCCTGCACAAGTGCGTGACGACGCCGGCGTCGACGCCGCTCGCCGAGCTCTATGCGCTGCTGCAGGACCAGCTCGTCGTCGCGCTGATTGCTAATGACCAGGGCGAGGTCGTGGGCCTGGTGACGTGGCGCGACGTGCTTCGTGCGACGAAGCAGCCAGTGCAGAAAGGCGAGGCCTTGCTGAACGTTGACACGCTGCCGGACGACGACGCGTCGTGCTCGAGCACCGATAGCAGCACGAGCCCAGACGGACATGTGCCCAAGCGCTTTTTCTCCAGAGAAGACGACATCAAGTACACACGGCTGTGCATACTCGGCGGCGACGACGAAGACGAGTTCGGCAACCAGCACCGCCCCGTCGCCTGCTCCTAGAACGCTACGAGGCACTTGATGGTATACGTGAATACAGAGGTTTGAGTTTTGTGGTGGTTCCATCATTGAAATTTTCTTGCGTCGAGGCCCAGCTGTCCTAAATGATCGATCGGCAGTAGCATTACATTAATACTGGTAGAAACTTCCTGGTTACCCAGCCCACCGGGCTCGCCCAACCCACCGCCTTTGACAGGTTGCTGTAATTGGCGACAACAAGAGCGTTGCCCCAGACCAAGCCGTGTGTCGCTCAGCAGCGCATGGCGCAAGGGTGCGTCGCGTTCTGGTAGTTGCTCGTCCACAGGTGCGTACTCGGTCACAAGCCCAGCAACTGCGTTACGTGTGTTGATGATCGCATCGTCGTCGTTGTCGACGTTCGGCCCATCGCAAATATGGTCGTCGTCAATGTTGTCGTCTCGGCACACAATGTCACAGAACACATCGAGGTGCGCATTGACCGTCATGTTGATAGTGGCTCCGCCGTGCCTTTCAGTCGCTTCGAACGGTCCACCACATGGTCAAAGATTGCGGCTCTACGGCTTCGATTCGGCCTTGGCATATCGCGCCATCGCTCGCAGCGTCGTCGCAGGTCTTGGAATCTTGGAGGAACGCATCTCGGAGGCGATCCCGTGGCCGACGCGCGAGAGAGGCCGTCGAAATATTGGCCAGGGCTCCGCCCAAGGGCCGACTCGCTGGCTCGTCACGAATAGATAGGCTGCGCCATACCTACGGCGACGTCGCGTGAGTGCCTCGGCCTGCGCACGGCTTGCCACGTGCCTGGGCTGGCGGGGAGAGACCACTGGCGATTGGCTCGAAAGCAAAATCCTTGTCGCTTTGATTGGCCACAAATCTGACGTCTTGGCACTCTGATTGGCTTAATCGCTTTGGCCTGGCGTTGACGAAAATGAGGGAGACCGACGAGGAACGCTGCATTGCGACCGAGCGACACCTCATGATGGCGTAGAGAGCACTGATGGAGTCTCCTCGAGCACAACGCAGCAGCGTCAGTGGTGCCCGAGGAGCCTCGGCGTCGTCTTTCTGGTGTCGCCGGTTGTTGCTATTGGCGTTCGCCATTAACAACCATAAATAACCATATTTTGGTGCACAGGCCCGCCGCGCCGGCGGATCGACCATAATGAAGTTTGAAAATGAAATCGCCCATACTTGCCAGAGTGCTAGAACACACTTTAGGGAGTCCGAAATGCTATGTGACGTCGCCGCGCGAGCTCTGTAGCGAAAGAAAATGACAGCGGCAAACAATTTTCGAAATAGTGTGCTTTTTCGCTGTACTGAAATACTGTACGGGATACAAGGCCTCATCACGCAGCGGTATCGCGCGCACTTTGCCTCCTTCAGCCACATGAAACATGCTCTTTAACATGAACAAAAAGAGACGGCGTCCTCGGTTTCTGCGACTTCGACGCATTTTCAACCAAAATTGCTTGTCGAGTTTCCTAAAAACCGACGCTCGGCAGTTCGAGTTTGGTGTGAGTGCCCAACCAACGACGGCGACCAACAAGCTGGTCACACACTGGGTCAAGACCCATCGCCAACTGTGGCAGCCAGTTTTACGGTCCTTGGAGCTTTGGAACCCCGCGATGTCACGTGAAGTATTTGGGCAATTCTGCTACCACCTCAAAAAATGAAAAATGGATTTGCGCGTGATTGCGCTACGTGCAGCGTCGGAAACGACATTGACGTCATTCAAGAAGTGTGTGGAGAGGTATACCCGGCTGCTACGTGGCGCTGACGCGTCTGTGGGCCGCTACTCGTCGTTGTGCTAAATGGTGCTCACACTATTTAAGATTGGGTCGCGAACTAAGTCTTGTGATTGGCTATAAAGAATCCAAAATTGAGCCAATAAAACTTCCATATCCAGATCGAGTTCCAAACGAGTCCTTGCAGCGTTCTTCGTAGGGTACTCCGAGTTGACGACAACTGATGGGCCTCGATTCTTATGCAAGCCAGGTCGTGTACATGGGCCGTGGCCTGAAGACGACTTCTTGCGCAATCGTTCTTTCTAACAAGAAGCTGCCGACGTTTTCGACCGGTTTCTGTGAGTTTTGTCTCGGCAACAGTGTCGGCGACCTACGGTGTCCATTGCACACTTGTACCGTGCACTGCTAGGCGCTCGCACCACCCGCCTCGATGCTGTGAGCCCTCCGGTTGTCCGCGTCGAATTTACATTAATAGTTCGAGAAGGGTCCTTGCCGCGCGCTGATTGGCTACAATTCAAGTATGATGCAAGCCCGCCACATTTCCGCGGGATATATTGCGACACAGCAAACGTGGTGCAATGCTTTGCATCAACAAGCGCGGCGACGACGGCGCTTAACTAATCGTCGTGAGGTTTAGTACGTCGTCTCCTGCACAAAATAGGAGTTGACATCTCAGTCTACAAAACAAGTCATGCTCCAAGAGTCCCATCACATGCCGGTGCTCGAGTCGGCGGACGTCTTCCTCGCCCAGGGCTCGGAAGCCTTCCATGCTTCTCTGGCTGCGCAGCTCGAAGCATCCATGGGCAAGTCCATGCCGCAGCTCGAGATTCGCTTCCAGGACCTCGCCATCTCGGCCGATGTTGCCGTCGCCACCAAGGACGGCCACGAGCTCCCGACCTTGTTCAACCACGCCAAGAAGTCGGTCATGGGCCTCTTCAGCTCCAAGCGCGTGATCCGAAAAGACGTGCTGCACCCGATGTCCGGTGTCTTCAAGCCCAGCACGACAACGCTCCTCCTCGGTCAGCCCGGCTCGGGCAAGTCGTCGCTCATGAAGATCCTCTCAGGCCGCTTTCCCATGCACAAGAACATCACGGTGGCGGCAACGTCACGTACAACGGGACGCCGTCGGCTGCGATCGCCGGGGCACTTCCTCAGCTCTCGGCCTACATGAGCCAGCGCGACTTTCACTACCCGACCTTGACCGTCAAGGAGACGCTCGCCTTTGCCCATGCATGCAGTGGCGGCGCCGCCGTGCCTCAGCGCGTCCTCGACTCGCTTGAGAGTGGCTCGCCCGAAGAGAACGCACAAGCGCAAAACGTCATCCAGTCGCTCTACAACGTCTACCCGGACATTATCACGCGCCAAATGGGTCTTGTCAACTGCAAGGACACGATCGTCGGCAACGCCATGCTCCGTGGTGTCTCGGGCGGTGAGCGTAAGCGCGTCACCGTCGGTGAGATGGAGTTTGGTATGAAGCTCGTTTCGTTCATGGACGAGATCAGCACGGGCCTCGACTCGGCGGCGACGTATGATATCGTCAAGTCGCAGAAGAGCATGGCCGAGTCGCTCAAGAAGACGATCGTGATTGCACTGCTGCAGCCGTCGCCCGAAGTCTACAACCTCTTTGACGAAGTGGTTCTCATGAACGAAGGCCACGTCATGTACCACGGTCCGCGCGCGCTCTGCTTGGAGTATTTCGAGTCGCTCGGCTTCAAGTGCCCGCCCAAGCGCGACGTGGCCGACTTTCTGCTCGACCTCGGCACGCCGCAGCAGGCGCAGTACATCGTCGACGGGACGACGTCGGTGCCGCGCACGCCCAGCGATTACGCCGATGTGTTTCGTCGGTCGGCGATCTTTGCCGAGATGATGAGCCACCTGGAAGGCCCGCACCACCCGCTGCTGCTCGCGGACGCGGCCAAGCACATGGCCGAGATGCCTGCGTACCAAGTGCCGTACGTGCAGAGCACGCAGCAGCTCATTGCGCGCCAAATGAAGGTCTTCCTCCGCAACACGGCGTTCGTCAAGAGCCGCTTCATCATGGTGCTGGTCATGGGTCTCCTCTACGCGTCGACGTTCTACCAAGTGGACTCGTCCAACCCGGTCATCGTGCTCGGTGTCATCTTTACGTCGGTGCTCTTCCTCGCACTCGGCCAAGTGCCGCTCATGCCGGCGGCGCTCGAGGCGCGCAACATTTACTACAAGCAGCGCGGCGCCAACTTTTTCCGGACCTCGTCGTTCATTCTGGCGCAGTCATTCACCCAAGTGCCGTTTGCGTTGGGGGAGACCTTGGTGTTTGGCGCCATCATGTACTGGATGACGGGCTTTGTGTCGACGGCCGGCGCGTTCCTCGTCTACTTGCTGCTGCTCTTTCTGACCAACTTGTCGTTCGCGTCGTGGTTCTTCTTCCTCGCGGTCGTCTCGCCCGATCTCCATGTGGCCAAGCCGCTCTCGATGATGTCGGTGTTGATCTACGTGCTCTTTGCGGGCTTTGTCATCTCGCCGTCCATCATCCCCGACTACTTTATCTGGCTCTACTGGCTCAACCCGCTCTCGTGGTGCATGCGCGCGCTCTCGATCAACCAGTACTCGTCGTCCGAGTTCCAAGTCCCGGTCTACAAGGGCGTCGACTACATGAAGCTCAAGAACGACACCATGGGCAACGTCATGCTCGAGACGTTTGGCCTCGAGACCGACACGATCTGGATCTGGTACGGCGCCATCTACCTCGCGGCGTCCTACTTTGTGTTCCTCGGTCTTTCGTACCTCGCCCTCGAATACAAGCGCTACGACGCGCCCGAGAACGTCTCGGTGATGGTTGACGACGACGAGACGACAATGGACGACTACCAGAAGGCGCCCAAGACCCCCGCGCACAGCAGTGATGACGTCGCCGTCAAGGTCGCAGGCTCGTCGTCGACGTCTGTGCCGGCCACGCTCGCGTTCAAGGACCTCTGGTACTCGGTGCCCAACCCGACCAAGGGCGAGCCGGACCTCCAGTTGCTCAAGGGTATCAACGGCTACGCTCTTCCCGGCACGATCACGGCGCTCATGGGCTCGTCCGGCGCGGGCAAGACCACCTTGATGGACGTCATTGCCGGTCGCAAGACGGGCGGCAAGATCGAAGGTCAGATTCTTCTGAACGGCTACCAGGCCACGGACCTCGCGATCCGTCGTGCGACGGGCTACTGCGAGCAGATGGACATCCATAGCGAGAGCGCGACGTTCCGCGAGGCGTTCCAGTTTAGCGCGATGTTGCGCCAGTCCGACGAGATCCCAACGGAAGAAAAGATGGCGTTTGCGGAAGAGTGCCTCGAGCTCCTCGACATGAAGAACCTCGGCGACAAGATCATTCGTGGCGCGTCGGTCGAGCAGATGAAGCGTCTGACGATCGGTGTCGAGCTTGCGGCGGCCCCGAGCATTCTCTTCTTGGACGAGCCGACGTCCGGCCTCGACGCTCGGTCGGCCAAGATCATCATGACGGGCATCCGCAAGATTGCCTCGACAGGTCGCACGGTGGTTTGCACGATCCACCAGCCGTCGACCGAGGTGTTTGAGATGTTTGACTCGCTCCTCCT